GGGTTATATTTACGGCTTCTATATCGGCCATTATTGGGGACTACAACGTCCACCATCTCTACGAACATTATGTTCGGAGTAATTTTCATAGCCTTTAAATCGACTCTTAATTTGGGCTCCTATGGGACGGAGTCATTTTCATTTCTTTATCTAAATCAGCCCATTTTCTTTTGCTAATTTAAACAAGATTATTAAATAAATAGATCGAAACTTGCACATGCCAATTACATGTTTCTAAATTTACAAAATCAAAATCATGTAATGCAAGTTGAAAATTCATAGTCGAGGCCAGAGATAATGACTCTTTTTTTCCTCATAAATCAACATGCACATAATTATAGATATATATCCTTCCTTTCCTCCGAAAATCGGTGGCGTATAAAATACCGTAGTATTTGCTTCACCCTTTGATATCGAGGATCTGGATTTTATCAAATAAAATGAAATAACATAAACAAACTTACATAACCTACCTTTTTTCGACCAGAACCTCGTGCTGATAACGTGTTGTGAAATAATTCCCATAAGCTCTATATAGTATAAACACTAATGGTGTGAATATTATTAATTAATCAGTATTAGTTAGTTATCAATGTGTAACTAATATATATATATGTATATACGGTTATGTATATGTATGTATATATATACATATATATATATTAGTATATACGGATATGTATATATGTATATATACTAATTAATATAATATAATATCATTACAATATAATATAATATAAATGTGAGTGGGAAAGATAGAGAGAGTGTATAAGGAGAGAGAGAGAAATGCTAGCCAAAAATTGTGTTTTATTAATTCACTTGTACATGTATTTATAGATACAAAGTGATAAGTCATCATTAACACTTGTCAACATTTCATCTAACATTGTTGGAAATGACTACACATGTCCTAACACTTGTCAAAAGACTAATAACCCATTTGCTAAAGTCCACAATATTATAACAAAATATTAATTATAGGAGGATTAATTAGGATAAACACACTACACATCTTATAATTTGCCTCTCCTCCCGAATCTTCAGTCGTACGGTATTGATTGGGATAATTATAGTTTTCTCCCCTCAAGTTTGCACCGATGTTCACATTTAGTCCTTCATGTTTCACAAAGCACATATTTGGTCTGTCGTTCAATAATCTGACATTTTCGGTCATTTACGTCAATTTACCATTAATGTATCTGTTAAGTAGGTGATGGGCACACGCATGGTTCCGTTAGTTTTAACCGAAAATTGATCGAAAGGACTAAAAATGTTGATTTTGTGAAACATGAGTGATCAAATGTGGTTTTTGTGAATATGAGGGATCAGATGTGGTTTTTGTGAATATAAGAGACCAAATATGAAATTGGTGCAATCTTAACGGATGAAAACTGTGATCCTAAGATTTTGATCCGAATATGTCCAATTTTGTAAAATATTTTTCATTTAGAATTCCGATAATCGGGTTCCGTATTTTTCTAACTTGATTCTAATGGATTGGGATACATATTTTTCATTTTGACTTCCGATCCAATTTTTGGATTTCCGAAAATATTTGAAATTCCTGAATTTCTCCAATTACGATCCAAAAGCATTCCAATTTTCGAAAGTTCTTTCATTACGATTTCCAAAATCTGTGGTTGGCTGGTTGCTCATGTAAATACGTTACTAGCAAACACAGCACTATTGATATTTGTAAAGATTATAACATATTTTACTCAAAAAAAAAAAAGATTATAAGATATTGACACACCTAAATGGGCTCCATTGGACCATTCATATTATAGAACCATGTGGGCCGAAATACTAGACCCCAAAGCCCGCCAGATAAAGAAATCAAGCTCATTCTCCTAGCTGAGCCCAAATAGGTCCCACTACTTATGCTCGTATTAATAAAACCTTAATTAGAGTCCTAATCAAAGAGAAACTAGATTACTGCTCTCTAATTAGGATTCTTCTATTAATTAAGTATAAATAAGGAAAGGTACGTTCGAACAAATCCCTTGAGTATTATTGATCTCGTGTTCTCTACTCTATTGTATGTGCTAGCATCTGACTTGAGCGTTGGAGGGGTTTCCGCCCGATGAACCTCCGTCTTAGTTCCCGTGCTATGATTTTACGGGTTCGGCAATCAAGCGTGCTGGATCAACCCCAGGCTTAGTTCACGTGCTTTGATTTTACAGGTTGGGTGTTCGACCAAATCCCTCGAGTATTATTGATTTAGTGTTCTCTACTCTATTATCTGTGCTAGCATCTGACTTGAGCGTCGGACTAGGGATTTCCGCCTGATCAACCCCCGGCTTAATTCACGTGCTTTGATTTTACAGGTTGGGCGTGCAAGAAACTTATCCATGTTCCCAATAAACCGAACAAGATGATATACACATCATCACATATCCAGACTATTAGTAAAATTTTATATTTTAAAAAACAAAATATATAACAAATTCCATTCACAAAAAAAACCTAATTCAATTAGCAGAAATCCCCAATGCATGTATTTTGTATTAACAGTACTGTTAGAATCTAATTAGATTCTAATAAACAAGGGATGAGTAAAGACTTGTGCAACAAGTCCTACGTACCGTGAAACACAAAAGGGAAGTCTCCTTGTTTACTTAAATTCTTTAATTTGTCATTAATTGTTTCTTTTATATAGGAAAATATTTTATTAATTAAAAAGAGTTTTTGTGCAAGACTATCCAATAGTTCTTGACTCTTGTGCGTATGATTTTTCAAGAAGGAAAAGATTTTCTTAATTATCTTTTATATTTTATTGTCATTAATTGGTTGTTTGTTTACATGGGAATTCCCATTAAATTTGGATGACAATATTTTAATAAGGCATGGACTTTTATTCCATATATTTTAACAAGATAATTCCTTCTACGTCTCTAACCTTGTAAAACCTAATACAGGAGTGTTCCTAAACTATAAAAGAAGAAGCAGGAACATAATACGGTGTGTGCGTTTTTTTGGAGAGAAGCCGATCTCTCTCTTCTTGGTTGTTGTTGCACGCCTTTTGTTGGAGCAGAAAAATTATATTTTTCTGCTCTTATTTTTGCTGCACCTGGAGCGTCTTTTTCATCGAGAGAAGATTTCAGAGAAATATTTTTTTCTCTCGTTTTTTATTGCTCCATCGTGATACGTGATTTTCATCGAAAATATATCGGCTTCAAGGCTTTGTGGTGAAGACACCAAGATTCAACGAGTATCACAAGTTTGCTTCTTCTATACAAAAAGAAGATCGGTTCTTCGGGAGAGGGGCTTAAACAGATCTCGGGAGGAGATCGATCCGCCGACTGAGGGATTCAGCGTTGAAGGGAGTTCAACCGTGCGGAGCAAGGGACGTGCTGCAAATTGAAGATTTATAATTCAGCGTAGTATACAAGAACGGCGTCAACAAAGAGGGAGTCTTTGTATTTTGATTAAGTCCTATTATTGTATTCGTAAAACTAAAAATTAGTAAATTTTATTTGCAGGTCCCCGTGGATGTAGGGTACAATTGTATCCGAACCACATTAAAATTTGTGTCTCGTTTATTTCTGTTTTTACGAACTGCTTCACGAACTGTTGCAACTCTTCACGCAACAGTTACGAAAAACTGAATCTGACACAAATAATTTATATCTGCACGAAATAAATTCTAACAATTGGCATCAAGAGCCTGTCACTAGATATACTTAGTGAGATTTTGGGATTTAATTTTTTTATTTTATTGTGCAGATATGAATAATCATCGTGAAGGCGCATTCCTACCTCCTCTCTTGGGTGAATTGAACTACTCTGATTGGAAAATAAGGATGAAGATGTTCATCAAATCTATTGATGAATGGGCCTGGCGCGCGATTCTATTTGGTTGGACACCTCCTACCTCAATGAACGAGTCACACGAGATCATTCAAACGCCAAAAGAGAAGTGGAGTGATGAAGAAGTACGAATAGCAGATTATAATTCCAAGGCAATCAATGCTATCTTGAGTTGTATCGATGACGACCAATTCAAATTGATATCGATGTGCAAATCAGCAAAGGAGGCATGGGATGTTCTACAAGAGGCCTACGAAGGAACTACTCTGATAAGCAAGTGCAAAGAGACTGTTGTTGAAACTGTTGCAACAGTTGGACAGACAGTTCAAACAGAACTCAGGTATGATAATTTGCCTTCAATAGACGACATCGGTTTAACTCCCTTTATTCTTGCAGGAGACGATGGGGATTCAGAAAACAACAGTGATGATGACGAGACGACCTTGGAAGAATTAAAGAAGTGCTACGAAAGGATGTACGAAAAATTGCTTCAGGTATGCGAGTCGAATAAATTCTTAGAAAAAGAGAAGCTTGTCCTAATTGAGGAAAACAAAGTGTTGAAGGTAAGAATTTCTACTCTTGAACAAAATGTTATTTCTGCTAGTAGAGAAACAGATAGTTTGAAGGCTAAATTTGCTCAAACCCAAGATGCTATTTCTAAGTTTAATACTGGTAGAGTAACTTTGAATGAAATTTTGAACAAAAATCAGCCGAACTATGGTCGTATAGGTATAGGGGGGTAATCAGCTATCTAATGATGCATTGAAACAGAAAGAGAATCCAAAAAGAAAAATCAATTTTGTTAAACAATCCACTGTTTCACAAACTGTTGCGACAGTTGCACCAACACAGCCATTTCAAAGAAAAGTTTTTGTTCCTACCTGTCATTTTTGTCATGTTCCTGGTCATATACGACCCAGGTGTTTTAAGTACTTGAAAATGGTTAAAAGAATAATGGCCCGCTCACCACTTTCCGCTAAAATTGATCATACTTTTGTGTCATCTCAAAAACCCAAGATAAAGGTTGATTTAGTGAATAAAACTCAACAAAAAATCTGGGTAAAGAAGTCTGATCTAAATTGTTTATCTGCCATTACTTCTTTAAACTCATGTAATGATAGTACTAACTGTTCCAACAGTTCTGGTGACAAAGCTAGTTTGGGGAATAAAAAACTTTGTAATCTGAATTGTGATAATTTGTATGCGAAAAATAAGTTTATGAATCCAATTCAGCATTCGAGAACTAAGCTTACTGATATTTGTCATCTTTTCATAAGGGGCTTGGTTGAAAAGGGGGTTGTCTCAATTGATTATGCTGCAACGGAGAATGAATTAACTGATGCTTTTGCAAAAACCCTTGATGCACAGAGATTTGATTCCTTGCGAAAATCGCTGGGAATTTATGTTGCTTAATCTGATGCAGTTGCATGAACTGTTGCAACAGTCTGTGTGTCCAGACTTGCAACTTTTAGTGGTAGGACACTTCATATGTTTTTGCATCTCATATAGGATCTGCATTAAGCATACTGCATCTGATTGAGACAAATGTGAATTTGATGCTTCATGTACTTCTAATCTTTGTGGGGGTAGAACTTCACCAATTCCCAAAATGATTACTTAAAAGGCTCCAACTTATTTATTTCTCTGAATAGTCTTGTCATGGTTGGATGTTTTTATAGGGAAAAGCTGCCTCTTTTAATGAGTGAAAGCTACTCTTGAACTACTGTTACTAATATATATATATATATATATATATATATATATATATATATATATATATATCTACAACCATTTGGTCAGTGAATAGTTCGAAGCCTTTTTGAGTCGAGTCAGTAAATCACGTGGCCGAAAGCTCGCTATACGGCTCAATTAGAAAGCCCAGGGGACTACACATTGCACGTCCAATATAAATTATACATATGGTCAGTGAATAGTTCGAAGCCTAGTTGAGTCGAGCCAGTAAACCACTTGACCGAACACTCACTACAAGGCTCAATTAGAAAGCCCAGGGGACTACACATTGCACGACCACCATAATCTCGTTCCTTTTATTTGCTCTGTTTTTCATGAGAAAAAACTACCATTAGACGTGTGTGTACGCTACCTAATAAGAGCATCTTTGTGTTTGACTTGGGATTATTAAGTTTGTTGGTTGCATTGGCAGTCGGATTTTTGGGGATTGCGCTTATCGTGAATGTGAAGATAAATCCCATATGTTTTGTTTGTCCATGCAGTATCCTATTCACATATGTCTCTTCACTCATGTTTATTTCTCATGTTTAATTCTTGTCTTGCATTAGGCATTATTTAAAAAAAAAAAAAAAAAAAAAAAAAAAAAAGAGAGAGAGAGAGAGACGGGATTTTTGTTAATGTGCCGGTTAAATTTGATCTTTTGTTGCAACCGGATCTATTGGGCCTACTACTCACATTTCCACGTTTCGTATGAAGTTTGGCAAAGTCTGTAGTCTTTGTTATTTAATGCTGGATTTGATATCACTATCCTTTTGATTTCGTATTGCAATTATCGTGTGTTATTGAGTGTGTGAGCGTGTGATTTTGTGTTCCCGTCATGAATGGTGATTCTTCTTACTTACTTTCAAAATTCTCTCTACGTTTGATATTTTTGTTAAGTGTTTGAACAGCTTGCTCAAATCATCAAGATCATTAGTCCATGTTGAGTTATCTATGCATGGTGATTGCCCAGAAAGGGGGAGAAAAGAACAGTCAGCGATGGCATGAACACAGGGAGAGTTCCGACAACTGTTGCGACAGTGCATCAGACAGTTGCTGGAACAGTGCATGAATGCAGGGGGAGTTCAGACAACAGTTGAGACAATGCATCATACTGTTGTTGGAACAGTGCATAAATACATGACAAATAAGGAGGAATTCATTGTAAAGGGAAGTTGATTATGCTATTGCATATTTTTAGTTGTTCTTTGCTTAATTGAACAACTGTACACTATCTGCTGAACTGTTTGATAAACTGTTGCAACAGTTTATATTTGCAGATGTTATTTTGAATTTGCTGACCCTTGTTCATGCATGTATCATATATTTAGGGGGAGTAAATGTTCTGACCAATCAATGCCAAAGGGGGAGAGTGTTAGAATCTCGGTGGGATTCTAAGTCCTCAACACCAAGTGGAATTCTATGGAGATGTTTATTGTCATTAATTGGTTTAGGTCTTCACAAGAGTATAAAATGAGGAGCTATAATGCCGACGTTATTTGTTGAGTCTTTTATCACGTGGGTGATTTACCACGTCGCCCTCCAAGTCTACAAAGCCAAGTAAGCAAAGTGGAAGAATGAAGTCACTTACAAGGGGAGCTGCCTAAGGTTCATTCACAAGGGGAGATACACATGCAGGGGGAGCCGACTCCGTTGTGAACCACATGCCGAAGCCACTACTGTGGGAACAGTTGTTGAAACTGTGACACTTACTATTGCAGCAGTTCATGCCACTCTTGTTGCTGAAAGAGATTATGATGATGAGCTGTTCCTTTGATGCTGAGGATGATCTTTATTTTTATTGTTTCCTTATATCCTCTATTGTTTCATTTTCAGGCAATTTACTCAGGGGGAGAAAATGTTAGAATCAATAAATGACAAAGGGGGAGATTGTTAGAATCTAATTAGATTCTAATAAACAAGGGATGAGTAAAGACTTGTGCAACAAGTCCTACGTACCGTGAAACACAAAAGGGAAGTCTCCTTGTTTACTTAAATTCTTTAATTTGTCATTAATTGTTTCTTTTATATAGGAAAATATTTTATTAATTAAAAAGAGTTTTTGTGCAAGACTATCCAATAGTTCTTGACTCTTGTGCGTATGATTTTTCAAGAAGGAAAAGATTTTCTTAATTATCTTTTATATTTTATTGTCATTAATTGGTTGTTTGTTTACATGAGAATTCCCATTAAATTTGGATGACAATATTTTAATAAGGCATGGACTTTTATTCCATATATTTTAACAAGATAATTCCTTCTACGTCTCTAACCTTGTAAAACCTAATACAGGAGTGTTCCTAAACTATAAAAGAAGAAGCAGGAACATAATACGGTGTGTGCGTTTTTTTGGAGAGAAGCCGATCTCTCTCTTCTTGGTTGTTGTTGCACGCCTTTTGTTGGAGCAGAAAAATTATATTTTTCTGCTCTTATTTTTGCTGCACCTGGAGCGTCTTTTTCATCGAGAGAAGATTTCAGAGAAATATTTTTTTCTCTCGTTTTTTATTGCTCCATCGTGATACGTGATTTTCATCGAAAATATATCGGCTTCAAGGCTTTGTGGTGAAGACACCAAGATTCAACGAGTATCACAAGTTTGCTTCTTCTATACAAAAAGAAGATCGGTTCTTCGGGAGAGGGGCTTAAACAGATCTCGGGAGGAGATCGATCCGCCGACTGAGGGATTCAGCGTTGAAGGGAGTTCAACCGTGCGGAGCAAGGGACGTGCTGCAAATTGAAGATTTATAATTCAGCGTAGTATACAAGAACGGCGTCAACAAAGAGGGAGTCTTTGTATTTTGATTAAGTCCTATTATTGTATTCGTAAAACTAAAAATTAGTAAATTTTATTTGCAGGTCCCCGTGGATGTAGGGTACAATTGTATCCGAACCACATTAAAATTTGTGTCTCGTTTATTTCTGTTTTTACGAACTGCTTCACGAACTGTTGCAACTCTTCACGCAACAGTTACGAAAAACTGAATCTGACACAAATAATTTATATCTGCACGAAATAAATTCTAACAAGTACATATCATAGAAAATAATCAATTACATTCATAGCATAACGTAACACAATTCGATCCCTAATTCAATTATACATGTCGTCGTCTAACTAGTCGGCATCTCGAATCGGCAAAGCGGGCAATAATGGCTAGTCCTCAGCCACTTCTTGATGCAATCGCCGTGAAAAATATGCGCGCACGGCATACTCAACAATTCTTCTCGATTATAATCATCGCCCCAGAAGCTTTCCAAGCAGACGGAGCAATCCATCTCGGGAATATTGCGAGAATATTCCACCGTCTTCAACACGCGATCAATCGACGAATTCTCGGCCGGAACCATACGAAGAGTAGATTCATCATAATTATTAATATCACGGAGATAAATATATTCGTGCTCCAAAAGTACATCGAAGTGGAGATTCAAAACTCGGTAGGCCCTGCCGCCTGCGATGTATTTGCCGGCTTCGCGCAACGGGTAATCGACCAACTCTCGACGGTTACTGGATTTCAGTCGCGATAATCCACTACTCGTCGTCGTCAGTTTTTCTTCCATGTATTTTTGTGATTCTTCGAAACTCGAGAACTGATTGGAACTCATGGAGACGAGGCAATCGACGACGGGATGATGAGACTGGCTCACGAGCTGCGACTCGTCGTCTTCGGATAAAATCCACTCAGAAACATCGAATTCGAAAGAAAAGTTGAAGTTGATTTGGAATTTACGTACCGAACTCGGAATTACGGCTGTGGTTTCCGATTTTACGAGTTTGTAGGTGAAGGTGTAGACGCATAAAATTAATTAATTGGTTAATTAAATTAGCCAATTAAATTGTGTCTAAATTAAATTATAATTTATCTTACAAAATAAGTTATGGAGATAATTATCAATTAATTATTGGCCAATAGGATTATTTCTTCTCTTCCAAGTTATAAGAGATAAATATCAATTTAAATAGAGCCAATCAAATCGCGCCACGTCATCAAGTAGACTTTAAGTAGGACTCTTATTCTACCACTAGGGACCCTCTCTACACAATTCAAAAAACACAACTCAAGAAGAATAAAAATCGTAGGAGAAAATTCTCTCTACAACATTCAAGTCATCTTCATCAAATTCAAGGCGTTCTTCATCAAATCAAGGGCGTTCTTCAACAAATCAAGATCGAAGGAAGATTGAAGGGCCAAATCCATCAAGATCTTCATCAGAGGGCGTTCTTCAACAAATCAAGATCGAAGGAAGATTGAAGGGCCAAATCCATCAGGAACTCCAAGATCTTCAAGTCAAAACCCGTCAAAGTTCTGCGTTCGATCCGAGATTCAAGTCGCAAGACCCTCGGAAAACGTTATTCAAGTTCAAAATCAAATCCGGAGAAGATCAAGTCAACGACCCGACTCCGAAATTCAAAGTCAACATATATTGTTCTTGAGAGAAGAATCAGAGGATTAAATTAGAGTTTGTAACCCGCAATATTTATATTTATTTCAATAAAATTATATTTGTGCAAGTTTTTCTTGTTTGTCTAAATCGCAGATAAGATTTTGTTGCTACAAATTTTGGCACGCCCGGTGGGACTTCTCTACCTCTCATCTCTTCTCTCTCTCGAAGATCCTCAAAGTGTTGCATTGACTGCTCTACGTTCGCAATGAACACTGCTACTTCGGATTCATCAAGTGTGGGCTTAGTTACAAGGAGTATGGCTAAGAAGCTGCAAGCATCCTCCAAGACTAGCTCGACGCCCCAAACCGTTCAAAAAGGCTTACCACCTCTTGTCAACACAAGTGCAAACGTGGAAGGCTCAAAATGAGAGATTTCACAGCCCATGCCTCATTCAACATCAAGCTACTCAGAGATGGCATCCGTCATGACAACAAACGCTACAACTATGGAAGAAGCATCCTCCAAGACTAGCTCGACGCCCCAAACCATTCAGAAAGGCTTACCACCTCTTGTCAACACAAGCGCAGAAGTGGAAGGCTCAAAACGAGAGATGTCACAGTCCATGCCTCATTCAACATCAAGCTACTCAGAGATGGCATCCGTCATGACAACAAACGCTACAACTATGGAAGAGCAAATTGCAAATTTGACCAAGGCTATTGAGGGACTCACAAAGCATGTTCAACAACGAGATTCTCAAATTGCCAAGTTGATCAACAAGATGGACAAAGCCGATGCTAGTCAAGCTGTGGAGAATCAGATAGAGGTTCAAGACGAAGTCGAGACATCCACAAAGCAACAACCAGTTGAAAACGAGAAGGCTCCAGCTCAAGAACTTCAAGTTTCTCCCGAAGGGCTGATTCATGTAGATCAAGTGATGACGCTGATCAGTGAGACAATCAAAGACAAGTTGGAAGGAGGCTCGAAGTCTCCATCAACCTATGTCAAGCCATACACGCAAATGATTGATGATCTAAGGATGCCAATGGGCTATATATACTTCCAAAGTTTCAACAATTTGACGGCAAAGGCAACCCCAAGCAACATGTTGCACACTTCGTCGAGACTTGCAATGATGCCGGGACGTACGGAGATCACCTCGTCAAGAAATTCGTCCGATCGCTCGAAGACAACGCGTTTGATTGGTACATTGATTTGGGGGCAAACTCCATTGATAGTTGGAAGCACTTGGAGGAAGAATTTCTCAACCGCTTTTACAGCACTCGAAGAACAGTCAACATGATTGAGCTCACCAATTCGCGCCAATGGAAGAAAGAACCTGTCATCGACTACATCAATCGTTGGAGAAATTTGAGTCTTAATTGCAAGGATCGACTGCCTGGGATATCAGCTATTGAACTGTGCATCCAAGGAATGCAATGGGGACTCCGATATATCCTTCAAGGAATTCAACCTAAAAGTTTTGAAGAGTTGGCCACTCGAGCACATGATATGGAATTGAGCATAACTGCAAATGAAGTCGAAGAACCTTCATTCCAAAAGTCGTACCAGCTCAATGAAGAACATGTCGAAGAAGAACAAGAAGATCACGAGGATGGGGGCAAGCCTTTTGAAGAAACAACATCCTATGCAATATGACAAGTCCAAATCAAGTGAATACTCCTCGACATGAGTTTAAAAGGTCTACAAGTCCAAATCAAATAAAATACTCCTTGACACGAGTTTAAAAGGTCTACATGTCCAAATCAAATCAAATACTCCTTGACACGAGTTTAAAATGTCAACATATCCAAATCAAACCAAGGCTCCTCGATACGAGCATAAACTATCTATATGTTCAAATCAAGTCAATGTTCCTTGATACGAGCATAAATTATCTATATATCTAAATCAAGTCAAGGCTCCTTGATACGAGCATAAACTATCTACACATATCAAGTCAAGGCTCCTTGATACGAGCATAAACTATCAACATATTCAAATCAAGTCAAGGCTCCTTGATACGAGCATAAACTGTCTATATATCTAAATCAAGTCAAGGCTCCTTGATACAAACATAAACTATCTATACATATCAAGTCAAGGCTCCTTGATACGAGCATAAACTATCTATATATCGAAATCAAGTCAAGGCTCCTCGATACGAGCATAAACTATCTATATATCGAAATCAAGTCAAGGCTCCTTGATACGAGCATAAACTATCTATAAATTCAAGTCAAATGCTCCTTCAGTACGAGCTTAAACTGCGAATGTTTCTCCTTGTCCACATGAGTATAAACTGTGCACGACATCCCTTAAAAGGATATATTTTGAACTACGTTATGACTTGATCCCTTTATAGGGTACGTAGGCAACTTAGAATCTCTGTAAGTTCAGTCATGATTTCAAAAGATATATGTTCTTTGCTAGATCAAGCCGCAATCGAAGTTGAGCAATTATCGAGACTCATCCACTCCAAGATGCATTGTCCGTGAACAAGTCTCAGGGGGGTGTGTGTAATTTACCCAAATTAATTAATTGGTTAATTAAATTAGCCAATTAAATTGTGTCTAAATTAAATTATAATTTATCTTACAAAATAAGTTATGGAGATAATTATCAATTAATTATTGGCCAATAGGATTATTTCTTCTCTTCCAAGTTATAAGAGATAAATATCAATTTAAATAGAGCCAATCAAATCGCGCCACGTCATCAAGTAGACTTTAAGTAGGACTCTTATTCTACCACTATAAATAGGGACCCTCTCTACACAATTTAAAAAACACAACTCAAGAAGAATAAAAATCGTAGGAGAAAATTCTCTCTACAACATTCAAGTCATCTTCATCAAATTCAAGGCGTTCTTCATCAAATCGAGGGCGTTCTTCAACAAATCAAGATCGAAGGAAGATTGAAGGGCCAAATCCATCAAGATCTTCATCAAATTGAGGGCGTTCTGCAACAAATCAAGATCGAAGGAAGATTGAAGGGCCAAATCCATCAAGAACTCCAAGATCTTCAAGTTAAAACCCGTCAAAGTTCTGCGTTCGATCCGAGATTCAAGTCGCAAGACCCTCGGAAAACGTTATTCAAGTTCAAAATCAAATCCGGAATCAAGTCAACGACCCGACTCCGAAATTCAAAGTCAACATATATTGTTCTTGAGAGAAGAATCATAGGATTAAATTAGAGTTTGTAACCCGCAATATTTATATTTATTTCAATAAAATTATATTTGTGCAAGTTTTTCTTGTTTGTCTAAATCGCAGATAAGATTTTGTTGCTACAAAAGGATTCTTGAAAATCATATAAATCATCCATGGCGTCGTCAAAAGATTTCAAAGATTTCAAGGAAAAAGAAAATTTATCTGTGAAGAGGGTTCTGTTTTAAGGTTGATGCGAATAGAAGATTTCAAGAAAAAAGAAAATTTAAAAGAAAATTTATTTGTGAAGAGGGTTATGTTTTAAGGTTGATGTGAATAGATTTTTAAAATAATATATATTAGGTTAGAAGTAGTGTAATAGGATTAGACTTTGTCGACACGTGTCAAAATCCAAAAGTGCATTGTAATTTGTAATATAATTAGTTTTATCAATTTCAACGGTTTTATTAATTTTAGTAATAATATTTAACTTATAAAAACGTGTCTTAAATTAGTAATTAAGTAACTTTTAAATAAGTGTTTTATAAATATTGGAGCTAAGGGTGGAAATCGAAATGAAATTTTTTAATTCCACCAATTCTGATTCGAAAATATCCGAATTTGAAACCATATTTTTCATTCTGATTTCTGAAGTTTTGATTTTCGATTCTTCCGAATTTATTTGGAATGGATCTTTGCATTCCGATTTTTTGGAATGAAAATCGGAACCTAATTTTTACTTCCGAAAAAAATTGGAAATATTTCGAAAAAGTCATTTCCGATCCATTCCGTCTGATTTCCATCCCTAATTAGAACATTACGTTTTATTTTTGTTTTTTCATTATTATGATGATTTTTTTTTTTTAAATATACTTGTACATATTTAACATGTATCCTTTTAGTATTTATATATAATAACACTTTGCACCCTCAAAATACAATAAATCAATTATAATGCACCCTAAATTGAATATTTAAAATTAATGAGAGCAATTTCATATTTTGTAAACCATAGTATGATATATGATATCCTTGATGCTTTGTTTCTAAAGACATAGTATTGTGAAAATAACTTCTTCAAAAAGTATTAAAAATCTCTTATAAATTATTTAATTGAGAGTATAGATCTCAAAATGTATTATTCGTGAAAAAGACAATTGAGTAATAGAACTTATATTATTTTTCAACTTATATATATAAAGTTAATCAATGTGTTTCACTAGATCTGTCATCTACAAAAAAACAATTACTGCCAGTCGTATTTTTTCTGTGGGACGCCAACGGGACCCACATGAGTTACCTCGTTCGGACTAAAATAAATGCCATCTGCCCTAGCTATCCAACTGCAAATATTACCACCAATCCCTGTTTGACAGTCTCCAGACAAATGTTTACTGAACACATCAAACGTTTGTTGCTTCCCATTCCACCACAAGTGACAGAAGTACAGAGTTCTTTTAAACAAATCTTGATGAAAAGCCCATTGTTGATATTGGTTCACATAAAGCGTACGATTTCCGAAATCGTCGTTCCCAGATTGACAATGAGTTACTAACTTAGAATTGTCTTTGGGAAGATTATTGTACACATTAACCTCAAACCTTTTTGTAAGAGGATCGGCATCGATTATTTGGACAATGCCGATCAATACTACGAGCGCAAAGAAAACGAGGCTTTGATTATCGTATCCATGATATGTTGTATAAGAAAAGATTAATTAGTATTGCACTTATTTTATTTTTTGTGTATCTAGTTTTTATAGAGGAAATTGGTTTGGATAGAGATTGCATATTCTTGTGATTGTGAATTTTTTTTCAATTAAAATTGCACTTTTCTCTTTTCGTGTATCTGGTTTTTATAGAGGAAATTAATTTGGATGGAGATGCATACTAATTAATGTATTTTTTTTTGGAGATTATACAATATACTACAGAAACCCAAAACCCAAATATGGTATCACAATGTAATTAAAATAAGGGTAAAATTCATTTTGCATCCCTGTACTATGAGAAAGTTATCGTTTACCCCCTGATGTATGAGAAACATCAAACACCCCATGCCGTTAACTTTTTTCTTGACTCCGTTAGTCAAACCTTTTGACTGGCCGTTATAAAGACCCGCTGGCTTTTTTTTGACGAAATTACCCCCAATAATCTCTATATATAGATTGTCTAGTTTTAGCCATTTTTTACAAAATTTTCCCACTTACTCAGCCCTTGATAAAAATAAAGCTTTGCAGATTTTGATCGCAAGACGCACGAAAAAAAAAAAAGTGAAAACCCCTAAAATCGAAAAAAAATGCTAAATCAAAATAAAACTCTAATGAACCGCAAACTAAAAACAAAGATTTAAAGACTTTGCATAAAAAAATTTTTTTAATCCGAGTTGGAAATATACACTCCGCAAAAGAAAAAAAAAACATTACGTGTTCATTGAAAGTAAAAATTTATTTAAGTCCAAGCATAAAAGTCATACAGATTTGAAAAATCTATTCCTATAGCAAAACTAAAAAAAATCAATAAAATTGATCATTCAATAAAGATATTGCGTCTGTTATTTGTATATATAGCTATGCAACAAATTGCATCTACTGTTTGAAATTAAAAATAAACCCCTAAAGTCAAACAACAATAAAATCGACAATATTCTCTACATTGAACAAATTCTGAAAATTGTCAATAATTAACAAAATACGCTTTTTTTTTAAGTTAAAATCGTGTCATTTATCCTCTAAGTTCATCGGGTTACAGAACCCCCAAAAAAATCAGTTCACCCAAATGTTAATCCCGTAATTGGGAAAAAAGAACCTAAAACTAAAATTCATACCTTCTTTTAGGGTAAACGTCCTTCGAATATGCTCATACAAGGTTTCCTCAACAAATTTCACAAATATCTTGAGAATTATATGAATTTTTTTTGGGTGTTGTTTTCTTGGAAAATCGAAGAGAGGGAGAAGACGAGAGAGAGCGAGCGAGAGTTGTACAGAGTAAATGACGTGAAATGTTTTTGGGATTCTCTAAGCCGTGTAAAACAAGGTAAAATTGTAATTGCACGCTCAAATTTAACAGGGTTAAAAGTTTGACCATTGACTGTCAAAAGTAGGGGGGTATTTGATGTTTTTCATACATCAGGGGGGTAAACGATACCTTTCTCATAGTACAAGGGTGCAAAATGAATTTTACCCTTAAAATAATATTCCTATTTCAACTTGAGGTTAAAGGCAAAAAGATCTACCAATTATTCCATTTTAATTTGAACACTTTTCACCTATGATACACGGACACGGATACGTGGACACGACGATACGCGGATACGAACACGGTGATACGGCATTTTCAAAAAATTAGGATACGGACACGCCGGGATACGCATAAATTTAAAAAATATAGGGGTATATTTATAAATAGGGTACATTTATAAATTGTAAAAAATATGTATAAGTCATCATCGCATAAGAGAACCACTCGCCCTTGTTGCTCGTGTTCTTGGTCGCCGTCGCATGCTAGACTTTTGGAGTTTTTTGTGGACTCACAAAGAAAACAGAGGAAATTTGTATTATAGAGAAAAGAAAAGGGCAAATTACGGCCACCCCCCTGATGTATGGTCAAATTACGAAAAAACCCCTCTTGTTTAGGTAATTACATCCACCCCTCATTTTAATTATTTTTACGTAAAATTTATGTAATTCGGTTATTTACCGAACCAAATCGTATATTTTGTTCGGTAAACGGTATGAAATGTTGGCGTACCGAAATTTTGGTCCGGTTTTACCGAATTAACAACCCTAAATTTACCTCTGGAGGGATCTTTTCGTAAGATAAATACATAGTTGAGGGGGTAGCTGTAATTACCCAAACAGGAGCGGGGTTTTCGTAATTTGACCATAGCTCAGGGGGGTGGCCGTAATTTGCCCAAAAGAAAATGCGCATTTTTTTTTATTAGGGCTCTCTTTTAAAACGTAAGAGAAGTGTCCCAACTTTTTTAAAATTGTGGACACTGCCCGACACGGGTGTCCTACTTTTAGCGAAATTACGACACGGCCCGACACGAGTGTCCGAGAAGTGTCCGGGGGTGTCCGAGTGTCCAGGTATCGGACCGGGGACTGTTCACCTTCTAAAAGTGTCCGTGCAGCATAGCTTTTCACAATCTTTTCTTTTCACTTTACAATAGTATGAATGATTCAATTGTAAACGAGTTGACTTACGCCAATAAATTGATTAAAACGAGAGGGTACGTATTACCGACTCTCCTAATGAATGTTGGTTATTCATATAAACATTGTAACTATAATAAGTTATTCAAAAAGTATTAAACATCTCTCATATAAATTATCATTGACAATATAAATCACAAAAAATTACAAAAAAACAAAAGTGATTAAATTTATAATAGAAGTACTTATTTTATAAATTCATACATCTAACTCCGTCGGCATCTCGAAGCGGCAAAGTGGGCAATAATGACTAGTCCTCAGCCATTTCTTAATACAATCTCCGTGAAAAATATGCGAACACGGCATGGATAATAATAATACTTCTTCACCTTCATCGCCACCGCCGGATAAGTCTTCCAAGCAAACCGAGCAACAACTCATCTCCGCCATATCCCTACGATAATCAATTGTCTTCAGCCCCTCGATCGAGGAATACTCCGCCGGAACCATACGAAAAGAATAATCACTAGCCTCCTCTTCAAGTATAACGCAACGATGCTCGTACAAAGCGTTGAAGTGGTGGTAATTCAGATAAACACTACTTCTAGAAGCTTCTCTCCATGCATAATCCACCAATCTTGTAAGGTTGACTTCTTCCAAAGTCAAAACCTTAATAAGTTCTTGTTCAATGAATATTCGCGACAGCTGTTCACAGCTCACACAAAAATCGTGGTTTATTAATACCGGTTCCTCGTACACCCGAACGAACTCGGGTTCGGGTGAATCTTGGCGTATAATCCATTCCGAAAATTCGACCCGCAATGAAACGTGGAAGTGGATCTTCGGATCAGTATTTTCGGTAGTAATAAATTCTTCTTTGATTATATGATTGAAGGAGAAAAATCGATGGTATTCACAATAATTGGAATCCATGGTTGAAAGGTTTGAAGAAAAAAAAAGTGGGTTAAAAGTTAAACGACGTAGTTTTGATTTGAATTAGGTCAATTGTTGGGAAGAGAAATATATAGGAGTTTGTGAACACCAAAATAATAGGTTAAACGATTTGTTCCTACTTGAGTTAGGCCTTGTTTCCTTCACTGTATTGGATTAGATCGGATTAGATTAATTTCCTACTGATTAATTAAATAATTGATTAATAATATATTTACTTCTTTAGATTACATGTTGTATTAAATTTGTTAAATTATTTTATTATATGTAAATTTTCTATAAAGTCTTTTATTTACAAAATTAAATTATTATTTTAAGGATAAATTAATAATGTTTCATCTTAGTCACCCCCTGCAAAATGAATGGGCGAGGGGTGTTACCAATTTCATGACGCAGTAGCATTTAATTGCGGGCTTCAACTTTAGTAGCAAGCTTCAGTAATATTGAATTCTACCAACCAAACATCTTATTAATTCCTATTTAGTTAATATAACCTAATAGGGGTGCAGTTCGGATTTTTTTTTTCGAATTATGCCTATTTCAATTTGCGATTTCCAGCTTTGGAACAAATATCTTCATTCCGGTATTCGATATTTCGATTTTACATTTTCCCGAAATACTTTGTGGATTGGAATTGAAATTTTATTTTTCTTTCCAACATCAATTTTCACATATATTCATCTATAACAAAAACTAAAAGTTCAATTATTTTAGTACTTAATCATCTCAAATAAAGGAATTAAGCAAATATATGCTAATTGTTTTTCCTTGTAGAATTTGATTGATATAAATAGAGAGATTGTTTCTTGTAAGATTTGGTTTACATAAATAATAAGAGAGATTGTTGATTAAGTGCAATTCTATCTGTAATTATTGTTAATTTCTCTAACAGTGTAAGTTGATATTATATTCTATTACCATAAAAACTATTATGCCAAAATTTATTTTAATGTTGCTAATAATAATGTTTCTAACACAACTCTTTAGATAATTATAAACATGCAAAAATATCATCATTAAGCATATTCTTTATTCTTTAGGGTGAAATATATTTATATATATATATATATATATATATATATATATATATATATATATATATGTAGCATCTATAAAAAACAATTACTGCCAGTCGTATCTTTTCTGCGGGACACCAATGGGACCAGCAGAAGTTACCCTGTCCGGACTAAAATAAATGCCATCCGCCTTAGCTATCCAACTACAAATATTACCACCAATCCCAGTTTGGCAGTCTCCGGACAAATGCTTACTAAACACATCGAACGTCTGTTGCTTGCCGTTCCACCACAAGTGACAGAAGTAAAGAGTTCTCTTAAACACGTCTTGATGAAAAGCCCATTGTTGATATTGGTTCAGATAAAGCGTGTGATTTCCAAAATCGTCGTCCTTAGACTGGCAATGAGTTATTAACTTAGAATTTTCTTTGGGGAGAAAATCGTACACATTAACCTCGAATCTCTTTGTAAAAGGATCGGCACCGACGATTATTTGGACGATGTTGATTGATAGTACGATGGAGAGGAAAACGAGGGGTTTGATTATCATATGAGCCATGATCATATGTATGAGAAAAAGATTATTTAATTTAATATTGCATTTTTCTTTTTTGTTTACGTAGTTTTTATACATGAGATTAATTTGGATAGAGATGCATGTTATTGTAATTTTCTAAGATTATGTACTATGTTACTATTTTATGGTTACATATTGGGTATCATATTAACGTACTGGGAATATATTTTATTGGGACTTACTAAGTATTATTTATTGGTTGTTCGAATTCATTAATTTAAAGGGTAATTTGAGATGATTTCTTGCAACTCCAGAATATGGTGGTCAACACTTAGAAAAAAAATCTTATTTTATAATCCTGGGTATCAAATAAATTAGGGATAAATTCAAGTAAAAAAGAGTATTTGACATACGTCTTGGTGAGAAGAAAGTACTATACTATCTTTATATGCAATTTTCGGTCAAACTGCATTCAACATTTCTGGTCCTGCATTTATCCTTTTCACTGATTTATTTATTATTATTATTTTTTTAATAAATCTGTTTGTTTGATTTATATGTTTTTTTATTAACTTTTTAATTAATTTTTATTTAATTTTTTATTATTTTATTATTTTTTTTATTTTTTTATTTTTGTAAAATCAATATATTTACTGTACTAAAAATAACTACATGTAACTGTAGTAAACTATAGTCATTCGTAGTTATGTTTTTTTACCCCATATTTTTGGTCGATCAATTATGTATACATGTGAATACTGGCTTATACAAAAGAAATTCATAAACACGAACAACAAAAATTTACAAATTTCAATATTTATATTATAAATTATCTCAGAATCACTAAAATAAAAATCGAAAATACACAAATATATGCATATATAACTATAAGTTATTGTAGTAAGCTGTACTGGAAACTACATGTAATTGTAGTAAAGTATAGTCATTTGTTGTTATGTTCTTTTTTTTGGCCCCATATTTTTAGTGGATCAATTATGTACATACTCGAATATTGGCTTATACAAAAGAGATTCATAAGCCCCAACAACAAAAATTTACAAATTTCAATATCTATATTATAAATAACCTCAAAACCAATAAAATACATATCGAAAACACACAAATATATGCATATGTAACTACATGTTACTATATGTAAGTAGTAATGTATAGTAATGTATAGTAATGTACAGTAATGTATACAATGTGTTGAACACTGTAACTTGACGCAGATGTAACTTCAACCAATTTTTTTGACACCTTTAAGTCGAGGATCAATGGCTTCCATTAAGCTGCAATAGCAAAATCAAAACAAAACAAAAAAGTTATTTTAGTGCAAATCAACAAAAATTGAAGAAACATCAAAACATTCAAAATCAACAAACACTAAGAGAGAGAGAGAGAGAGAGAGAGAGAGAGAGAGAGAGAGAGAGAGAGAGAGAGAGAGAGAGAGAGAGAGAGAGCATAGCTATGAAATGTTACGAATTTTAGACCAAACCGCCAATGATTCCTCACCCAAGCGCCTCTACCAAAACCCAGCCGTCGTTAACCAACCCAGGTTTCGCGCTCACAAATGAAAAAATATATAGAAATAAATATGACAATTAAAAATGAACGAAATCGCCATCAAAATATCGATCTCGTTGAGAGGAATCCAACGGTGGGTAGCCCGTCAAATTTCGACTACCAGAATACAAATTACACCTCCGGCAAGACCCACCGTTGTCGAAATACGCACCGACTGTAAAACGATTGCAGAAATAGACCAAGTGCTTCAAATTGAATGAAATTACCACCAAGAGAAAGAGCTTGACAAGAGGAATCTAACGGTAGTTCAACCATCGAATTCCGATCACCAGATGCAGAGTTATGACTCCGGGAAGCAACTTCCCTGGTTGGAGATCTATGGGAGCGAGATTTGAATCTGGGAGGTGAGAGATGAAGAGAGAGACGACTGTGAGTGACTAGGGTTTAAAACTGATTTTTAAAAGGACATTTTAGGTACTTTAGGGTGGGCGAGGCGAGTATGTCAAATTAATTTCAAAATGGAGGATATATGCATAAGAATATAATTAGTTGAGTAAAAAGCAGTTTACCCCCTAAACTATGACCCGTTTTGCACTTTGCCTCCCAAACAAAAAAAAATTGCACGTTTTTTCCTTAACTCGTCTATTCGTTGCATAGTTCCCCTGAATTAAATTTTCCGGCAATTTTGACCGGAATTCTGAAACATGTTCAATGCACGGCGGCGATGGTGTTGTCGCCCTGGCTGAGGCGGAGAATAATTGCCTTGTTGAGATTTAGGGCAGGGAATAATTTCTCCGGTGAAAGATTTCTTGCTTTTCCCCAAATTCTCGGGGTGGTTTATTTGTTGTGGCAATTGGTAGTAATTTTTGTGGAGGATAAAGTTGCACGCGTAGATGCCCCCGCCAGCGGAGGGGCATCGGCGTCAACGTCGAGTTTGCCGGCGGAGACGGGAGCAGTGTTGATGGTCAAAGGAAATCCCAAATTGTCATTCCAAAAAATCCCCAAATTCAGTTCAAATAAAATATATTTATATCGATTCCATCTTTGAGTTGGTAGTGAAAAATTACTAGGAGCAAGTTTTCTACGGCGGCGACAATAATAGACAATTTTGGTTCTCTCAAGTTTGCAGGTTTTTCTCGAGGAAGAAGGAGGACGGGGTTGCAGATTTTTGCTTCTTTTCTTTTCTTTTATTATTATTATTATTATTATTATTATTATTATTATTATTATTATTATTATTATTATTATTTGTTTTTTTTTTCTTTTTTTTTTATTTAGTTTGATGAATGTAAGGGAATAGACACTTTTAACCCTGCCAAACTCACGTGAATGGCATGTGGTGTAAAATTCCGGTCAATTGCAATTTTAGGGCACCGTGCAACAAAAAATCAAGTTTAGGTAAAAACGTGCAAAACAAATTTATTTGGGGGGTAAAGTGCAAAACGGGTCATAATTTAGGGGGTAAATATATATACAATTGCTTTTTACTCTAATTAGTTTGGTGATTAATTATATATAATTTTCATATGGAGGGGTCTCTAACATAATTCTATAAAAGAACAAAGGATTATGGTCAACCGTTCAAACAAAGTCAGGTGCACTGGGTCAAACAAAGTGAGGTACACTAGGTAAAGTTACACTAGGCTAATCATGTGTGACATGTTCCATCTAGTGATCGTTGGCAAAGGAATTCAAACTTGGGTCAATTGACACAGACTCACTTGTTCCAACTGTTAGGTCATCCCTTGCGGGATTGTTTTAAAATTCAAATTTAGTTTTTTGTGATAAATGAGTATCCAATTCCAACTCGATACTAATTAGTTGTAACCTATTTATCACAGAAATTTCAACTTCTTAACGTTTCTGTCGGCCACGTTTCGTGTCGGAAAGTTGAAGACTACTGTCGAATACCTTATGGATCATTTTGCCATCTTCAAAAAGATATAAAAACATGTTTGATAGCAATTTTATAAATATTTTTGATGTATCCATAATTATTTACATGGTTTATTGTTCAATTATACATTGACATATTATAGTAAAAAATTTATTTTTAATATGTTTGTTGAAAATATGTAGAAAAAAAATTATATATAAATAAAAAAATTTATATATTTATACTGCACATTTATAAACATATCTATATACTTCTAATATTTACATGTTTCTCCCATTTTTTTTGTATGTTTCCTCGTGTCCGATTTCCCCTATCGCCGCTCCTTCGTGTAACTATTGTTATCTCATAGTCATTACAATCCCAATAATTCTATATTATCTTAGTTCTATCGTCCGAACTCTAATTGCACTGATTTCAAGTTGCGCTGAAAAACCGACATAAAAAATACAAATTTTGTGTTTTTCAATTTTGAGGTTCGTCTCAAATAAAGAACTTACGCAAACAAGTACCTTTCTATCTGTAATAATCTTAAATTTCTCTATTATGCCAAAATTAATTTTAATGTTGTTAATTATAATTTATAATTCTAACACAGCTCTTTAAATTATAAACATATAAATAAAGACGTTGCAAACTCCCCAAAAATATTATCGCTGTAGCATATTCTTTATGGTGAATTCAATATATACACAAAAGTTTAAAAATTGTGAAAAAATAAATCATCCAAATTTAAATTATAAAGATGCAGAAACAGAATAAAGACGTTGCAAAGTCCACCACTGTAGCATATTCTTTATGGTGAAATCAATATATATATATATATATATATATATATATATATAAGTTTAAAAACTGTGAAAAAAAAGCATCTAGTTAGAAAAATATAGGTATGCAAATTGATAAATAACGAGCTTTCGAAATCGATGTAATGATCTATATAACCTCTACTTCGATCGAGCACGTACGACATGATTAACGCCGCATCTTCACAATCGCCAATCTCCAAAGCATCTCGGGCAACTCATATTCCAATGCGGCAACCTCGTCTTCAAACTCCAGTCACCGGAATATTCCCCCGCCACCGTCTTCAATTCCTCAACCGATGAATCGTCCGCCAAACAAGGACTAGATTCATTAAAAATATCCCGCGGTCGATGTTCTAACGATAAATAAAAGTCGATCTTCATAGCTTTGTCTTTGTTTATTTCATCAGCGGAGTGGAGAGCTTTTACCGCTTCCCTCCACGCGTACTCCACCAGCTCTCTACGAGTACCAGAATCCACTAGAAGATCCCAGAGTTTTTCTTCCATGGAATTCCGTGTTTCTTCGAAGCGGAAGATTTTCTCTCGGTCCACATGGACGATGTAAAGTGTAACGGATCTCGAATCGGGCAATATAGTGGATGTGATTAAATTAAAGGTAAAGGTGATCATATCATCGTCGGGTTTCGTCCCGGTTCGGAATTCGTAAGAGTTTAGTTTACACGAAAATATCTTTTCGCAATCCATATCGGTGAACAAGGAGAAGAAAGAACAAGAGATCTAGTTGGTATTGCAAGATTTTAATTATCAACGCTGCTATGAATTGAAAAATAAAAGGATGCTTTGTATATATATATAGAGATTGAGTCTTGAGACAAAATCTAGTAGGATTAGGAATTTAGGATATTCAATTATGGTAGGATTACGAAACTTGTACTATACATAAATTATTATAGCCCCCGGCGGTGTTAAAATATAGGGCAAATTACGGCCAACCCCCTGAGGTATGGTCATATTACGAAAAAACTCCACTTGTTTGGGTAATTGCAGCCACCCCCTTCCTTTTAAATATGTATACATAAAATCTATGTAATTAGGTTATGTACCGAACCGAATCGTGTATTAAGTTCGGTTTCGAATTTTACCGATTTAACATCCATAATTTTACATCTGAAGAGGGTTTTTTCGAGATAATACATAGTTGAGGGGTGGCTGTAATTACCCAAACAAGAGGGGGCTTTCGTAATTTGACCATAATTTAGGGGTGGCAGTAATATACCCTAAAATATATAAGTTGTTTTAGTTTTTTTCAGCCCTAGTGGAAAAAATCTTGTTTCTAAAGTTCAAGAAATAATTCCAAGTAAATTCAAGTGCAGGGAAAAATACGAAACACCCTAATTAAACTAATTTATATCCAAAACATTCCAAGTGAAATTCTTTTATCCAAAATTTTATAATATCAAACTAGTCATACTAACTTGTCATATTAATCAATTCAAATAGTTGATTTTTTGCTTAATAAATTAGTTATTGTTCGTAAAATACCATCTACATTACACTAAATTATGGTTAAATACATGCAATTAAATAATATATGTGTTTTTTCGTAGTTAATTTGCGAGTTTTATATATATATATATATATATATATATATATATATATATATATATATATATATATATATATATATATATATATAAATTGTCTATTTAAGTTAGGCCTTGTTTCCTTAATTGTATTGGATGAGATCAGATTGGATTAATTTTCTACTGGTTAATTAATTAATTAGTTAATAATATATTTACTTCTTTAGATTACATGTTGTATTAAATTTGTTAAATTATTTTATTATATGTAAATTGTCCTTTTATTTAACAAAATTAAATTATTATTTAAGGATAACTTTGTAATTTCCTGTTTTAGCACCCCCACTAAAACAGAGTGTTGCTAAGAATGTTTCGTTTAAGGATAACTTTAAATAATAATTTAACAAAATTAAATTATTATTTAAGGATAACTTTGTAATTTCCTGTTTTTAATTTTCTTTTTACTTTTTTATATGCATATTAATTAATTTTAATACTTTTAAAATATTATTTTCTCAATATATTACATAACTGAAATGCTAATTGTAGCGGGACTTTTACTGAAATTGGCTTATTTGCAGCGATACCTTTTCATTTCAACTTTTCCAACTTTTTGGATTTCTCAAAACGCTCTCAACTAAAAAAAGTCGAGAATTAAGATTTTCGTGTTTTTTTGATAAATCGACTGCCCGACGGCAACATATAACAATATGGCCGATCCTGACGAGTTTTACGAGGTAAATCGAAAAAAGTTGCGGATTTTTTTAGTTTTTCGTCGGGTTTAACGTGCTGTGTAGCACGGGAACCCAAAAAATTAGGGATTCCCGTGCTGTACAGCACGGGAGCACTATAAAAAAAAAAAAAAAATTGAAATGCAGGTCCCGTCTTGTGGAGCACGGGAATATCGTGCTCCCGTGCTAAAGAGGACGGAAGTTTGGGGTTCCCGTGCCCTTGCGGACGGGAACAGTAAACCACCGTGCCCTACGGCACGGGAACCCCTACTGTTTAATTTTTATTTTTATTTTTTTATTTATATTTTTAATATTGTTATTTACATACTAATTATTACTTGTTATATCTTAATAGGGTACTGAAGGTGATTTTGACGGCGAGTTTACAACTGATCGTGACAAAGCGTACAACGAGTACGAGGATCCCAACATGTGTTTCGATGTTCCTCAAGACACACCAACAACTTCTGAGGATCACAGTCAACATTTCAATGTAGGTGTTGAGTTTGAAACTGGGAAAGAATTAGTGGAATGGGCAAAAAAAATGGCTGCTACTCATGGTCATCGATTGATAGTAACTTCAAGCAAGAAAAACGTGTATGTAGTAATTAGATGTCATTTGTCTGGGGAGGGACGTGAAAAACGAACCGTAGGTGCGATACCACGGAATGTGGGAACAAAAAAATGTGGATGTCCTTTTCGTATATACTGTAGCGAAAATTCAAACGATGGACTATGGCGAATGAATTTAAAAAGTGGCACTCACACTCACCCGATACTACCGTATCCTACCGGACAAGGACCGGATAGTCGTTTGACACCAGAAGAATACGAGGTAGTGAAGTTACTTAGAAGGAGCCACGTGAAGCCGGCATTAATTATGGATCGATTGAGAAAGGATAATCCACAGACATCAACGAGTGTGAAACATGTCTACAACCAACTTGAGAAGATGAAAAAAGAGAATATGGCGGGGAAGACTGTGATACAACACGTGATGTCGAACCTTCAAGAATCTGGATATGAATATTGGTATCGAAGTAATGAAGCTGATGATACACTTACTGATTTGATGTTCGCTGCTCCTAAATCGTTGAAGCTTTTGCGGTTATTCTCTCACGTTATATTGATGGACTGCACTTACAAAACCAATAGGTATGTTGTTAATTATTATTTATTATTGTGCTATTTTACATTGATTGATTGCATTTGATATTTATGTATTTACGTAGGTATGAGATGCCACTTTTGGAAATAATAGGAATCACTCCTGCTGGTAAGAATTTTACAATTGCTGTTGCTTTCATGTCACATGAAGATGCAAACACATACGAATGGGCTTTGCGTTGTTTGAAATGTGCATTAGGGGGGCTGGTACCTAATGTGATATTGACGGATCGTGAATTGGGACTTATCAAAGCAATGCCTCTAATATTTCCAGATTCCGCTCATTTCTTGTGTTTGTTTCACATCAATAGAAACGTGGAAAAAAATGCATCGAGATTTATTGGTAGTACTAAACACGGGCTTATATGTCGGCGCATACAGTGGGCAAAATTAGTGGAATCAAAAACAGAAGAAGATTACAATGATAATTACGAGGAAATGGTTAGACGCTATGGTTGTTACCCCAAATTGATATCATACCTTAACGATACTTGGCTAATTTACAAGCACAAATTCGTCAAAGCATGGACTAATAAGATTTTGCATTTTGGGAACACGTCGACATCTAGGTATGTTGGGTTTCATTATCGTCTTATATTTTATATTATATTGTGGGCGTTTTTATTTATTAGTTGTTATTTTAATGGCTATTAACAGGGTGGAAAGTGCTCATAAATCGTCGAAGGGTTGGATTAATGCTTCTACCGGTGGTGTGAACACCATTCAATATCAGCTCGACTCCGGGGTTGAGTATCAACTAACCAAGATCAAGGGTGAGTTTTCAAAATGCAGTTTAATCCGATTGCACTCATCATCGTATCCGGTATTTCAGGGTTTGATATGCAAAGTCACACATAAAGCATTAAATTTGCTTGATGATGAGCTCAAAAAACCGGGGTTTGAAGACCCATCTCTTTGTGATCACGTTTTGTGGGATACTCATGCACTTCCTTGTGCATGCCAAATTGCGTTGAAAATCCAGCAACGTGATACATTTATATGTATGGATCTACATCCATTTTGGAGTACCATGCACGTTGAAGAACCAGAAATACCCGAAGCACAGATGGATCGTGAAACAAATATGAGAGACCGAATAATCAGACTAGCCACGGAAGTGTTAGAAAAATATTATATGACTCAAAAGATGACTGCTGATTACATGAATAGCACTATTCATCCAGACACCACCCACTTGGCAGAGCCTGCATATGTTATACCGAAAGGAAGGCCAAAGGATAAATCGACGAAGAGAGATAAATCCAGTTGGGAGTTTCCACCATTCCAGCGGAAGCCGTCTACTGGTGAAGAAAAGGGTAAATCGTCTGCAGGTTCTAAGGGTCGAAAAAGTACTTCTACCGGAACCCCACCATCGAAAGTAACCGATCCCGGTTCTGGTCGTTGACGGGGGCGGGGTCGAGGGAGTGGTAGATCAAGTGATGAATCCACTGCCAATCAGAATCGTACGCCAATGCCTCGAAAGGAACCGGGCGATGAGCTCAATTTCAGATCTTACATCCCAGGTTTTGTGGCAGGATCTATTGTGTCGTATGTTAATGTTATAGCAGATGGAAATTGTGGGTACAGATGTGTTGCAGAAGCAGTGTTCCGAGATCAGAACAGATGGAGTCGTGTAAGGAGAGATTTGATTGCCGATATGTACGAGCATTTTGGTACGTACGCATCGCAAAATGGTCAAGATGAAGTCATCCGATGGATAGAAAAATGCGATTGGCAAGAAGGACCGTGCAGTTGGGACAAATGGATGTCATTTCCGGATATGGGAATGTCGATAGCGACTAAATACAATGCGGCTTTGGTCTTATACGCCATTGGCGGAAATATAACCTACTTACCTCTAGTTGGTCCGGGTGAATTATCCCATATGATCCATATGGTGTTGTTAGGAAACCATTTTGTCATTATCCAGTTACCGGTTAATTGTCCTCTACCACCTATCACTCCACAGTGGCGACATGTTAGAGCCGCAAATCTTGCCCACTTGTCGGAAATGTTCGAAGAACGCCTATACATGTGGCGTCGTTTATCTAGGTTGGAATAGGCATTTTATTTTAGTTGGTATTTGGACCTTGTATTTTTATTTTAGTTGGTATTTGGACCTTGTATTATTTTATTTTAGTTCGTATGTATTTGGACCTTGTATTATTTTATTTAAGTTCGTATGTTTAGACCTTGTATTATATTATATTATTTTGGTTGGAATGTATTTGAAATTAAACCCGAAACAAAAATAACATAAATAAAATAGTCAAACAAAAATAACATAAATAAAATAGTCAAACAAAAATAACATAAATGTCAAACAAATACAAAACATAGCCAAATGTCAGAAAAAACCAATAAATGTCAAACAAATATAACGACCGTCTACTGTCTACCCCTAGACCTCCTCGAAGTGCCACTCGTCCCACCCGGACGCCGACGCGGTGGTGGCATCTCCATAAAGTCGTCGTCGTCGGAATCTCCAGTGGGGGATAAACCTAGAAAACGTGCATGTGGCTCCACACGAGGCTGTAACTGGACACGTAGATGCTGGGGTATCTCGTGCATGTGCGGATGGATGATACGCACAATGTCATAAAAGTCCGGCTGAATAGGAGGGGGGCGTACGACTGGCGGTGGTCCTTCTGGCGCTGGATCCCGGTTGATCACGTACTGATGAGTACGAGGAACGTATCACTCCATGTACCGAGTGGCAGTCTCAGACGGCGGCCAGGCTAATGTCCTACCGTCCAACGTAATCGAGCTGGTAGCTAGGTCCATCCACTCCTGCCCTGGAGGATCATACCGTACCTGGTATGTCTGTCCTCCAAGCGGACCACGTAGGCACGGCTCTCTGGACTGGATGTAGCACTGCGGTATGGTCTGTCTAAATCCAAACTGCCGAAGGACGCGATCCGGTAAATATGGCTCGACAATCTCCATGAACTGTATGCAGCCATAATATAATGTACGCGGAACGCGTCTATGTACGTGTGGCCCGTAAGGCATCCAGTCAATCTGGAAAATTAGATTAACATAATAAAAATTACATTTACATAATAATTAATAATAAATAAATTCAACAATTAAAATACATACCTGATCGGCCTGCATATCATCAAGCATCCTTCGGACCGAGAGCAAATCCGAAATACCCTTGCGTGGTTTCCATTTCAGGAAACGAGGCTGCATCTCCCTATAATCCGAATTAATAGGTGCTCGGAAAGGGCGAAAGTACTCGTAAATCCAGCACTACAAATAAACAAGACTATATTAGATTAATATTATATTAAATCACAATATATTATATTAAATTAATGTACTGTTGAGGCTATATTATATAACTACCTACGTTATACTAATTATAATAATATATTATATTAAATTATAGTATACGAATTATAATAATATATTAAACATAATATATTGAGTATAATATATTATATTAAAATTTTACTTAAATACCTGGAGCAGTAACGTGCAACCCTGTAACCCCTTCACGTGGGCCCTACTAGCCAAGCCCAACTGTCGGTATAAATGAGCCAATACAGCTGCACCCCAAGCATACTCGCCGACGTGCTCGAGATCGGAAGAATATCTCATCCACGTTGGCTTGAACCTGTCTACACTCCGGTCGGGGAACAAAGCCATACCGATCAAAAACGTCAAATATCCTATCACCTTCTGCCGACAAGTTCGAGACCGACTGCGCACACGCTCCACAAACTCCGACCATTTTATCCCACTATTGCCGAGCTTGGCATGCGGCTCGACCATGTCCAAATCAAGAACCTCAGCTAGCAACAACTCACACATAGGCCTCTCCTCAACAGAATCACCGTGCACCGCTAGACCGTCAACACGCAACCCCAAAATCAAATGGACATCATGTAGGGTGATCGTCATCTCACCCCAAGGCATGTGGAAACTGTTCGTTTCCGGCTGCCACCTCTCTATAAATGCCCCCATGAGTCCCTTGTCTACATTTTTTATGTAGAAGTACTCGAGTGAGTCTAGGCCAGATGCCTCCAGTAGCTCTAACTCATCCTGCCCGTAAGGAGCCATGAGTTGCTTCAACTCATGTTTCTTAAAAGCATTAAGCGCAGTAATCCTTGACTCACATCGCCCCACGCTGCGCTCCTGTAGAATTTCTAATTTAATTAGACAAAATATATTAAAATAAATATATTTAAAATATATAAAAATAAATATATTTAAACTTACATGTCCTGCCCAAATGTAGTAGGCAATATGACTCTTGAAACTTGGAATCATCCTCCAATCAGTCGGTCCTCTTGGAGCCGGACCATGTAACTCAAGTGGGCCACTGAAAGTGTCAAACTCGTACCGAGACTTCCGTGCGCGCGCGGCCGGGACGGGAACATCATCAAAATCGCTCTCAACATGGTCATGCTCCTCCTCGTGTCCATCGTAGGGGATACGAGAATCTGCCCCTGCAGATCGAATGCTACCCGCCATAGATCTAGAACTATGATCTATGTGGGGAATCTCGTCCACGACGGGTAAATCAGTGTCGCGCTCCATAACTCTCCTACGACGATGAGATGCAGTCATACGAATGCGCTCCGCTTCCGCCTCGGCTTCCGTCGCGCCTTGCCCGCCATACCGAAATTTAATCTTCGGAAATTTATCCGAACTTGAAGAAGAACCCATAAGCCCTTTCCCCTTGTCCTGACGTGCCATCTGTAAAAGATAAAAAAAACAAATTAAATAAAATAATTAAATAAAATAATTAAATAAAATAATTAAAAAAAAAAAAAAAAAATAGTTTGAATTTCCCGTTCTGCAGAACACGGAAACTTGAAGATTCTTCAAGTTCCCGTGTTCTGCAGAACGGGAAACACAAAATTTTTCAAGTTCCCGTTCCCCAGAACACGGGAAACTTAAAAAAACTTCAAGTTCCCGTGTCCTTCAAGACGGGAATCTTGAATAATTTTTTTTTTTTTTTTTTTTTTTTTTTTATTTCGGAAAATTTAAATTTCAAAAACACTTTGGAACTCCCGTTCTGTAGAGAACGAAGATTCGAATCACCCGTTTTCTGGAGCACGGGAACTCGAAGAACATTGAAGTTCCCGTGCTCCAGAAAACGGGTGTCGTAAATTTTTTTTTTTTTTCCGAAATTTGCTAGATCTATTCCTAAACACGTGTTTTTACCTAAATTGGAAATAAAAATAATTAAAAGTAGTAGGAAATCGAAAACTTACCGGAATCAAGCCTCGTTACTACGGTTTGAATGTCGAAAAATTTTACGAAATTCAAATTTCTAGAGAGTGTTTGGGAATAGGAGAGAGAAATTGAAAGTTGGAAAAATTAAAATGAAAAAGGTACCGCTGCAAATAAGCCAATTTCAGTAAAAGTCCCGCTGCAAATAGTAACACCCATTACATAATCTCATTAAATTTCTTAATTTTATCCATCCACCTCACTCCATATGTTTTTATTTAATTTACTAATGACATTGTTTTCTTATTTAATTCTCCTTTGTTTACTTAATGCTTCAAGATCCGAAAATGGCGAATAATTGTGCATTCTCTGAAAACAAGAGTCACTTTTTTAATCTATTATTAGCTGACTTAAATTGTTCCTCTTCTGAAGCTTCAATTCTTCAGATATCATTTCAAGAACTCCACATGTCATGTTTTTATTATTGCTGACACGTACTCGTTCACAGCAGTATCAAGTATTCTCATTGAGTAATTGCCTGAAATAGAATATGAACTTGTTAATTTTTTCGAATTTACCCCAACAAGAAATGATTAATGCCACCATCATTGCAAGATTGAAGAATCTTTACGGTTCGAATTTTCGTTTTTAGATGATTTCTTATAGAATTATATTCATGTATTGAAATACATATTATTAATGATTGTAGGAATGTTGTGTAAGAGAAATTGAGGGCCTTGGTGCAAAAGAGAAGATATTCCACCAAGACAAAATCACCTTCTGACCCGATATTCTTGTTACCATATCCAAACGGGCCACAATAAGCCGATTCTTGTTTGGATTAATTGAAAATTTTAACCGCTTCAGATTCTATTTCGGTCAACAACTCAGTGAAAATATCCAATATTGTTGTGAACAAGTATGTAGCAGCAGTGAAAAACATGGCATGTGGAAATCTTGAAATCATGCCTGAGGAATTGAAGCTTAAGGAGAGGGATAATTTAAGAAGGTTGATAAGAGATGAAAAAAGTGACTCTTGTTTTCAGGTTGTACAATTATGTGCCATGTTTGAATCTTGAAGCATTTAGTAAAGGTTGAGTACAAGTTTTGGCGTTGAACCATACCATTTAAAGTGTCGGGCCGCAGTTAACCAATTGGGTCGGCAGATTCAGTCCGATTCTGATAACCATAGTTATAAGTAAAATTAAAATAAAATAAAATGGTGTGCTTGTAAGTTTTCTAATGCTCATAGATTTTGTAGTAACCTATATATAATATATATATATATATATATATATATATATATATATATATATATATATATATATATATATATATAATATAAAAAGAGGATCTATACCCTTAATGATTGACATGTGGCAAATGATGATGTCATTTGTCAAAATTGCTTAGTTGGACTTGAATTGATGAGGTGGATTCTTCAATTGATTTGATGACATTTTTATTTAGGTATGCTTTTAAGTTATTTCCTATTTTACATTTACACAATCATTTAATAATTACCACATGTATATTTACTATTTCCAAAGTTAATAGTTTATAAATTCGAAATAAAAAAGAAAAGGGAACAGTATTAAAATAAAACGAACGCTTACCTTGCCACCTAATCAGCAAAATAAAACGAACGATTACCTTTCCAAAGTTAAAGTTTTCTTTTCTTTTATTCGAGAAGCGATGATTCTGCTGATTATGACGGTATGCAGTTTTGCAAATAATTTTTACACATTAGTCTTTTGTTCACAAATTCTGTTAATTATTTTTATACATTGATAAATTTTCATAGATTACGACGATCTTGGTGATCAAAGTTGCGTTTGTGAATCATGTGGTGCGATGTTGTGGTACGGCGAGAGA